ACCCAGGGTGAGATCTAAAACCTGCAGGACACCGGCCCTCGAGGCCTGGAGTTGCCTACCCCTGGTTTAAGAGATTGCTGAAAGGCGCTGCATGCAGGGACTCAGCTTTTCCCCTGCTGGATCCAGCACATCAGCGCCGACGTCATCCTCAAACCTCCCGACACTCCTCCTCCTCCTCATCGTCGTCTGTTTGTGTGTACAGTTGCTTCAGAATCAGGTCAGCTGTTATAACATGAGAGCTCACAGCAAACATCCAGCTGGCAGAGCGGCGACGCTGCAGCCACTTTTATCACGTTTATCAACCGAGTGAACATTCAGAGGCATTTGTGATGCAACCCTGGCTGAGAGGAGTGTGCACAGCTTTGAGCTGCTGCTCACAGACAGCTGAGACCAGAGCGCCACATCAGCCGTCACTAAGATCTCTGACATTAGCGCGAGCTTTAAAAACATGGACGTTTTAATAAATATGAGAAACTCCGAACAGACCACTGCATGAAATACAAACTAAAGTCAGGACTGAAGAGCAGACTTGTTCAGAAGTCACCTGGATGATGACGAAACGTTTCTCCCACTGAAAACGCCGCGGCCACACGAGCCAACCCCGGGTCATCCTTACCTGGATGACTGAGCACGAGGTTCAAATCATCTAAACACCAATTGTAAAAATCATTTGATGCTTCAGATCTTAAAAGGTTTCAACACAAAACCAGAAACGTTTCTGCTAAAAACAAATAAATGAACCGCAGCCAATGAGGATGAGCTTCAGCCTCTGACACGCAACATGTCAGTGAGGTCATACTCTGACTTCATTTCCATTTTAAACATTGTCCTTTTAACGCACCCACACACACACACACACACACACACACACACACACACACACACACAGGAAGTAGGACGCTCCACTCATGTCAAACACGTTGATCTGGGTCGCTCTTCACTCGAGGCTATCGATGCGTCTCGACGACGGGAAACTTTCCTTCTGAAAATGAGCGACGGCCCTGCTGCTGCGGTCAGGCTGCTGATAATCAGCCGGTCAGTGGCTGATTTCGGGCAGCTGCTGTGTTTGAGGCCAAACTAAAAATGTAAAAAATGAACCGAACAGCTAAAAAACCCCAAACCCCGTCATCATCAAATAATCTTCTGTCACTTCCAGGTCTCAGGCCAAGCAGAAGCCCTCCCCTCCAAAGCCGAGACATCCAAGTCCCTGAGACGACCTCGAGACACCCAGGAGGAACCGCAGCGAATCAGTGATCAGATAATTGCATTGAAAACGCTCCAGCACCACACATGGTGCAGAGGAACAGTTAGCTGAGGTGAAGCTAGCGGCTACAGCCGCCTGTGTCATCATCCACCTGTCAGAGGCCACGCCCTAATAAATGCAAACTTTAGAGTTGAGTTATAACAACATCCTCCCCGTGCAGGTGGTATGAAGGGGAAATTATCCACAGAGACCGAACAGTCTTTTTGTCTGACCCTGTTTTTGCTGGAACATTTTAACCTATACTTCTTTGTCCCTTTTTATTTTGGTATTTTGCAGTCTTGTGCATATAGCTTGAAGAAGTGGTAAAAAAAATGTTTCTAGGGGATGCACTGGTGGGAAATTTTGAAAGGGGGAAACAAATCTTTATTATAAAGTTAACATTTTGAGACGAAGCTTTTCATTACATGACTTGTGAACATTTGGTGCAAAATCAACAAAAAAGTGAGAAAAAAAAACCAGTCAACAAGGCATAGACTTTCATTTCGCTCCTTAATTTTACACTGATTTAAAATAAATAATTTTGCATTTATTTATTTCGGATTAGTGGTGTGATATATGTGGTTTAGAAAAAAATTTGCGTCAGGCCGTAAACACGTTACTTCTACTGTAACCGACTCTCTGCTGCCCCTGCTGTCCAGCAGAGGAACTGCAGGCTGACAGTTGATTATGACTAAAATAAAAATGTAGTGTTTACAACACCTGACATTGCTACCAAATTATACCTGTGACGAGATTAAAACACCTTTAATCACAGTAATGATTATTTATTGTTGATTATCTGATAAAGTGACAGATTGTTTTCTGTGATATACAGAAGCAGTAATTTCAGCCTCAGAGGTTCATCTGACAGCAGAGCTCAGCTGTGACTGAAGCAGGTAT